GTTTGTATTCATCCCCCCCCTTCTACAACCTGTTTAGTATTCTTGTAGACCCTTTTGGGACCAACAATCTGTCATATATATAAAATCATTCCTCACACTTGTTTTTATCAAAAGGCATAAAGTCCCAAAACCCCCAAATGTGACCTAGTTGGTCCAAAATCAACCATACGAGAAATACTTGAAAAGAAAGCTTTGAGAAACTAAAATATAACATTTTAACATGTATATAGTTTCGTAAAATTGTAGAATGAACTTAAAATACTAGGTTTTGATGAAAACCAAGAAAATCAAGAAACAGATGAAATCTTTAAAAAGGAAGCTTTGATTCTTGACTCATTTGAAATCTTTGGCCTTCATTGCTTCCAAACAAACCTTTGAAATATGGCAATAAATGCCTTCCAAACGAAATTAATGAAGAGGGAAGTAGAGAGAAATAATAAGAAGAAAAGGATGGTGAGAAGAATGGAAGAAAAAGAACAACAATAGGCCTTTAACATGCAAAGGAGGCTTTACGCGACCTGGCCTGCGACTTTAGGTCATGGTGCATGTCGCTTGCGTCACTCAACCAATGCCGAGCTCACAACCTGCAAGACTTTCAGCATGGTCTAGGTCGTTCGCCTAGCCACGAGACCCTTGTTGTCTCTTGGCCCCTTTTCCACAATGACCTATGCAACTGCCTACTCGACTTGAGGTCGCGGGACAGGTCACGGGAACATGACTTTTGTCTGTTCTTTTCCTTTTGAGGGTTTCCAAGCACCGCTTCTTGCCAACATTTATAATATTTAAAACTCAGTATATTAACATTTTTTGAAGTCAAAACCATGTACACATTTAAACCTTCATTAAAACATACTTAAAAACTCGAGTGTTACAGTAAATGCTTAACCGGTCGCATACCTTATCGGACGAGCATGACAACAACTGAGAATCTTACTCGGTTAGAGGCAAGACAATTGTCGACAACCTTACCATAAGTCAGGGTGGAAACTCTTACCAGCAAGTGCTTGGTAATCGGTCCCTACGATACTATAATCCTAACAATTACCAAAATATTAACAATTAGACATCAAATGGCAAACCTTAATCATGACAACTAATAATTAACAAAAGGTTAACAATCGACAAACTCTAACCTTACAATTAATGATTTATAAATAACATATAAACATATAACATCTAACAATTAAAATTAATCTAAAAATCTAAATTTAGATTACTATTCTTTTATGAATTTATGGATGTAACTAAACGCTTATCCGGTAAATGCTTACCGGACAATTTTCCTTACCGCATGAACATGGCAATGGTCAAAAATCTTACCCAGTAAGAACAATGATAAAGATGAAAAGTCCTACTTGGTAAGTGAGGGTGATGACTCTTACCCGGGTAAACGCTTAACGGGTAAATTGTTGCATACGATACCATTTTGATATACTACAATCTTATCTGGTAAAATAAATGACAGTGTTGACTCCTAACGGTAAACACTTACCAAATAAGCATTTAGGTAAACAATCCTTATGACAATTTTTTTTGGGGTTAAATCATATTTTTTATGGGGTTGAAACAAAATATATATTTATAATAATAAAAGTTTGATGTATAAAGACAAATAGAAAACGATAGGGCTTAATTGAGTCATTGCAACCATTATTGTTTCTTAGTTGAATTAAAAACGTTTTATATAAAATTTGGAACTTTGGATGCTCAGATATTTATGATATATTAAGCTATTCTATTGACGGACTTAAAAAAACGATGCGTCTTCTTAAGTAGATGTTCGTGATGTGGGATGTTCTTTCACCATAAAACCAGTCTAAGGGATCGTTTTACCTAAATACTTATCCGGTAAGTGCTTATCAATAGGAGTCAAACACTATAATTTATTTTACCATATAAGATTATAATATAGTAAAACGGTATCGTATGGAACAATTTACTCGGGTAAGAGTTCTTACCATCACTTACCGGGCAAGACTCTCTATCCTTATCATCGTTCTTACCGGATAAGATTTTCAACCCTTGTCATGTGCATCAAGTGAAGAAAGTTACCGATCAACACTTACCGGGTAATTGTTTAATAAACAGCCTCTAAGATTATTTCTTTATTTTACAGATAAAAAAATACCTAACATTTAAATTTGTTCTCAATAGTTATAACCATTAAATGCATCGTCGATATCGAGAAATTAAGATTTTCTTCTTTAGAAAACACGACAACTTACTTTTCATGGAATGTGAATCGAAGACTATTATTTTCTCTTTCACATCTATTCACCCGTCATGCACGACTTTTTTATGGTCTTTAAATGTGCAATTTGAACTCAAGATCGATCCACGTCCATTTTGAGATTTATTTTATATAAGGAACCAGAGGATTTTTGATCTGTTTTCATGTCGATTCGACTTGGTTTGATGCCTTGTGTTTTCAGAAAATGTAACACAGTTGGTTTCGTAGTGACATACTTGCACAAAGTGACAATGGTAGGAGTGTTTAGATAATCTCGATCAATTTTAAACTTTAATCTAAAAAAACAGAATTTCTATCTCTAAAAATTAAACTTCCAACAATATAACATTATACTAAAATAGTGTACCAAATTAAAAAAAAACAACGATCTCTAAAGTAAGTTGCTTGGAGGAAGGGAATTCGATTAACATTGATATGGGAAAGCATCAAATCTCTTGCTATTAAAGCTTGGTTCAAAGTAATGGCGATCGGCGGCTTGATTATCTCGACGGCCGGCCAGTTTTTCCCGCCTAAAATATCTCGGAAAAATAACGCGCCATCCCGTTTTAACTTTGACGCAGAAAAGTCGAATTCTAGAATAAAATGGAGTCCTGTTTCCCTAAACTCCTAAACCTTCTATTTAAGGCTCGCAATTTAATCGGAGTTGCAACCATCGGGTCTTCCTCCGCCGCTGCCACCGACGCTATTATATCCTCTCCCAAGTTCTCAACTACCGCAGCCGCCGCCGCCGCTATGGATGATCTCCAAACCCTGAAAACCCGCCTCTGCATCATTGGTAGCGGTCCTGCAGCGCATACAGCCGCCATCTATGCTGCCCGTGCGGAACTGAAACCTCTCCTTTTCGAAGGATGGATGGCCAACGACATTGCTGCTGGTGGCCAGCTTACTACCACCACCGATGTGGAGAACTTTCCGGGTTTTCCTGAAGGTATTCTAGGGTTTGAACTTATGGAGCGATGTAAGAATCAGTCGCTTCGATTTGGTACTCAGATCTTTTCTGAAACTGTTACCAAAGTTGATTTTTCATCAACTCCTTTTAAAGTATTTACCGATTCAAAATCTGTTATTGCTGATTCTGTTGTCGTTGCTACCGGCGCCGTGGCGAGGCGGTTACATTTCCCCGGATCTGATGACGGAAAATTAGGGTTTTGGAACAAGGGTATTTCGGCTTGTGCTGTTTGTGACGGTGCTGCACCGATTTTTAGAGGTAAGCCACTGGCAGTGATTGGTGGGGGTGATTCTGCCATGGAAGAAGCCAATTATTTAACCAAGTATGGATCAAAGGTTTACATCATTCATAGGAGAGGTGAGTTTAGGGCTTCAAAAATCATGCAACAGAGGGCTATGGGTAACCCTAAAATCGAGGTTGTATGGAACTCAGCGGTGGTGGAGGCTTATGGTGCAGAAGGAAAATCTCTTCTTGGAGGATTGAAAGTGAAGAATGTTGTGAGTGGTGAGATTTCGAATTTAGAGGTATCTGGTTTGTTTTTCGCAATAGGTCATGAGCCAGCTACCAAGTTCTTGGATGGTCAGTTGGAACTCGATTCCGAAGGATACGTTGTGACTAAGCCTGGAACAACCCTCACAAGTGTAAAGGGTGTCTTTGCTGCTGGAGATGTTCAGGATAAGAAGTATAGGCAAGCTATTACTGCTGCAGGCTCTGGTAAGTATCTTTACACTCTTTATTCAAGATTATGAAGTTTAATTGAATGAATCTGAATTAGTAATTTGTCTATGTACTTCATACTTTCTAGCAATCTATTGATCATGGTTGCTGTCATACCTTGTGTTTATTTATCTCTTAAGATATCTGATATCTGTTAATTGAAAGCCTTATATTAGATGTCACTTGGTGATGGGTTTGGAACATAAAAAACAAAAACCAAACCAACTTGATGGATGCATTCTATTCTATCTTTGTTTTAGATTTTCAGTGCTTTCAGTGATCCCAATGGATGCATTCAATTCTATCTTTGTTTTGTTGATGATTTATTGTTATCAGGCATTGTCTTGGCAACTAACCAACTTGGCACTTAGTTGCTATATTGTGGAGAGTATGGCGTGGAAATAGTTTTAATGGATCATTTAAGTTAATGTGTTAAGGTTGAACTCTTGATTTTAGGACACATTGAGTTTTACATTTGTTTTTTTAATGATTTATTCTATTAGGCAGTTTCTTGGCAACCGGCTCTTGGTTGCTATATCATGGAGAGTATATTGATAGAAGAGTTCTATGGATCAGTTAATTTATGCTGTAAAGTTTAAGTCTAGAATTGTAAAAAAGATGCCATCGTAATTACAGGTTTGAAAACTTTAGGAAGTTAATGCTAATATAAATCTTGGTAGGAACCACGAGATCTTTGATCAGACCCATTCTTATTTGTACTTATTCAATAATTGCAATGAAGTTTCCAGACCGTATGGTTTTAGAATAAAGGATTAAAATATTATTACATGTTAGGTGCATGTTTGATTAAAAAATATTTAAGTATTGTTGTACACATGCTTATCAATCGTCACATTCTAGATGCATGTATCCTTTTATGAAACGATTAAAAGGTTATTATATATCAGCAGGGACGGACCCAAATTTTTTTTCAAACGGTGGTACCATATAATTAATATAGTATAATATACATCTAAAAATAATTATAAAAAATATGGTTTTTATAGTACCGATAGGGCTGTAAACGAACCGAACGTTCAGCGAACCGTTTGTGAACAGTTCAATCTGCGGGAAGTTCGTTTATTTAATAAATGAACGGACATGAACTATTTTTTTGTTCGTTTAGTTAAACGAACGAACATAAACAAGAGTCTCGTTCGTTCATTTACCGTTCGTTTATGTTCATTTATATTCGTTCGTTTATGTTCGTTTATATATTAAGTTTAATATATTATCTTTTATTTATTTACTTTGAATTCAAATAATATTTATTTATGTTCGTTTATGTTC